TTGTTATTATCTTTAAAATTAGCAAAATGATATTGAAGATATTGATAACTAAAAGCAACATTATTTGGTGATTCATGAAGAATATTTCTTTATTCATCATAGCCATAATAATAGCCTAAACACTTCAATATTTGAAAAAGTTTTTACTTAAACAAAATATATCTATTGTCTGATAAAAATTTTAATAAAATTAGTGTAGATAATTGCATACCAGTATTGTTGGTATATAAAATTTTTTTATATAAAAGTGTTATAAGTTCTTCTCCTGGCTATACTTTAGGTTAACCAAGATTTTTGTGAAGTAAAAATGAACTATCATTATGTTTGTTCCAATTAGCCACTACACTTCCAACTATATTTTTTAAAATGCCCAGTACTAGGGCAACATACTTGCATAATGAGAGTTTTTGATGTTGTTTGTCTATTGAAGTAGCATCAGAAAAATATTTGTGAACATTAACTATCATCCACTTTTCATTATTTGTTAATGGTAAACAATCTCTAAAGGTAGATATTATAAAATACAAAAAAAAAATTAGTGCACTATTGCTCTATATATACTTTATAATATATTTAAAAAAAAAACATTAAATAATTACTTTGTATAAATTACATAATCATCAAAAAATTAGACCAAATTTGATGTACAAATCTTAATGCACTGGACTATATTTTTAATTATAGATGTACACTTATTTATGTCACTATTTATGATTCACTTGAGCCTTATTTTATAAACCAGTTTTTTATATAGGATGTAACTAAGTAATGTCATAAGTCTGCATCTATATTTTTTGATATACTGATTCTTAGAATCAAATAAAAAAAATGATTGAATTCTATTAGGTGATTACTAAGATATCTTCATTCAAATATTAAAATAGTTTTGGCACAGTTAGATGTTTAAAATTTGAATAGATATTCCAGTAACTACCTAATAAATTCAGTCAAATATTTTTTAATCAATTCTAAGAAACAGTATAATTAAAAACAAAAAAAAGTTAATTGAATCCTATTAGATAGTTGCTGAAATATCATTATTCAAAGTTTAAAATAAGATCAGCACAGTTTTTATTTAGTTAAACATTTAAAATTTTGAATGAAGATATCTCAGTAACCACCTAATAGAATTCAATAAAGTTTTTTATTTTTAATTATACTGATTTTTAGAATTTTAGAACTGAGTAAAAGAAAAAAATTGATTGAATCCGATTAGGTGGCTACTGGGATATCTTCGTTCAAAGTTTAAAATAGTTTCGGTGCAGTTTTTATTTAGTTAGATGTTTAAAATTTTTTGAACGAAGATATCTCAGCAACCCCTAATAGAATTCAATTAAATTTTTTTATTTTTAATTATACTGATTTTGGAATTGAATAAAAAAAATTGGTTGAATTCTATTAGATGATTACTGAGATAGCTTTTAAAATAGTTTCTACGCAGTTTTCATTTAGTTAGACATTTTAAAATTTTGAATGGGGATATCTCAACACCCACCTAATAAAATTTAAGCAATTTTTTTATTTTAATTCTATTGAATTGTAGATTTAAAATAAAAAAAAATTGATTGAATTCTATTAGATAGTTACTGAGTTATCTTCGTTCAAAGTTCGAAAAAAAAAATCAAAATAGGTTAGACGATGATCATTTTTTTGGCCAATCATTGTCTTTTAATTTTGGCCAATCACCGCGAGTATCAAGTGATTCTGCTCCGCTTTAGACGACCCTATTTGTCTACATTCTCGGGATTTCCCGGTGCCCAATCTGAATTTATGGTCAAATCCTGAGAATTCTGTTACTTTTTTAAGGGTGATCGCAGTAAATCATCGTCCCTGTGTCCATCCCATTTGTAGACCAATTAAATTCATCTCCACTTGAAATTCATGTGGGTAGGAAAATTTTTAAAAGTATGATAAGTCAACAAATAATTTTTTGATATCGTGGCGTTTAGGCAAAAACTAGTTTTCCAACTCATGACTACCACGTCTGGCTACAGCCGGTGGTTGATACATAGAAGTGTGAAGTGGAGCTAGCATTTGAAACTTTGCGATCATATTCACCGTGCATGGTTACATCTGGTGGTAAGCAGGAAATGGAGCTAGCAATGAAACTTTGCAATCCTATAACATTGTGTCTGGCTACAGCCGACAGTTGTTATAGAAGTATAAGCAGAATATGCTCACGCCTGGCTACAGCCGGTGACTATTCTTGCTTATAAAGGTAACCATTATGATTGCGTCTGGCTACAGCCGGCAGTTTTGATGGGCTTTTCATTATCTATAATTTTCAATGCATTTATTTAATTATCACACTAAGTTTCAATCACATTTTTATTAGTCTATCAAGGTATAGAGTGA